CATATGAAAACGCACCACTTTCTCATCCGAAAAATCTCGAAATCCATTCGCGGTCTCTTGATGAATCTTTAAAACCCAAGATGGCCCCGTATTGGAACTGTCGATGGCCATCTCCCTTTCTCCCTCGCATGTCTGCTTGTACATACGTATAATTTCAGAACTTACCGTGCATGCGATCGTTTACAACATGGTGGACCGTGCGTATGTCACGAACCTTGTATACATGTGTTTCTCTCCCTCCGTCTGGCTGTGCACGCGCGCGTTGGGCACTGAGAGTTAGGATCATAGCGCCATGAGTCTCTGAGCAATGCATGCGTCATCCTTGGGACTGTATAACATCAGTGTAACACATGTACTTCTGTAATCGCATCCCCACGAATTTGCCCCAAAAATGTGACCAACTATCTTGGCACTGCGTACCATCTCACGTGTACCGTGTACCACATCATATGTAACAGATGTGATCAACCTCTGTGGGTGTGTACCCACGCCAGTGTAGTAGCCAGGGTCGTCCGCACGCCACGAAGTGAAGTGTCCCAACGTCATAGGGCGGGAAGCTGGGTGTGGGTGGTCTCGAAGAGTCGTTTGGATATTTGGTAGAGCTTGAACGGCCCCCCCACGAAGTGGGGGTATTGGCTGGTGTCGCAAGAAAACCCTGGCACTGTGGAGAACACTGAGCGTTCGGGTAAAATGATTGTTGTTGTTGTTGTTGTTGTTGTTGTTGTTGTTGTTGAATTATTATATTCAAGAATAATTATTGTTGGGCCCCCTGGTGCGCGCCCCCCCTGCGCCGCCTAGGCCGCAGCTACATTTTCATCATTTTCGTGAGGAAGCCTCAGAAAAGAGGGTGTGTACAGGATCCGGTTGTTTTGTTGTAATCCGCTTTTCCCTTGCAAAAAACAATAGAAAATGACATTTCTTGTTCTAATATAATCAAATTTCAAGAATCCCTTGTGCAAAAAATAAGGTAAAGTGGACATTCGCGCGCGCAAGACGAAATCCTTCCAAAACCTTAGTGTTCGCAGCGATTTAACATAAAAACATCAAAAAACCAATGGTTTTTCAACAAAAAATTGTCAAATCTCATCCCGCGCGCTCTTGCGGATTCGTAGGAAACCCAACACTTTTTTAAACATTTCTGTCAAACGGGCTTTTGCGAGCAACTTGTCCCACATCCCTCAGGAATTTGCCCTAAAGATGTGATCAACTATCTTGTGAGTACGTATCATGTGTATCATGTGTATCATGTACCATATGCATCATATGCAACAGATGTTCTGTGGAAGGCTTAACAACTTCTGTGGGTTAACAAGGCTTAACAACTTCTGTGGGTGTACGAACGTAGGCTTAACAACTTCTGTGGGTGTGTACTCCACGCCAGTGTAGTAGCCACGGTCGTCCGCAGGCCACGAAGTGAAGTGTCCGAACGTCATAGGGCGGGAAGCTGGGTGTGGGTGGTGGCGAAGAGTCGTGTGGATATTTGGTAGAGCTTGCACTGCCCCCCCACAAAGTGGGGGTATTGGCTGGCGTCGCATGAAAACCCTGGCACTGGTGAGAACACTGAGCGTTCGGGTAAAGTGATTGTTGTTGTTGTTGCTGTTGTTGTTGTTGTCTTTTTCGGCCTCCAGGGGCCGTTTGCGGCCCCCAGGACCGTCAAAAATGGGCCCCCGGGGTGAGAACAAATGCACCAGATGTCGTTGTGTAGGTTCGCGTCGTGTCGACCAGCGGCGACCCCGCCGCCCTCGTTCAACGCCGGCGACCCAGAATCGGTCGATGTTGAATGTTCGGATGTTTCGGAAACAGCCGATCGTTCAAGCTCGAACGACCCTCGCGGTGTCAGGAACCAACGCCGGGGTCGACTCAACGCGAACTTGCCGTAGCTGGACAAGTCTAGGTCTCCCAGATGGGGTCGATGTGGCTCGGCGTGGAGCCCAATTTTCTCCACGCCGACGTCGTCAATGCACCGCCGACGGTGCCGATGCATCGCCGATGCGACGCGATCATCCGACCCCATCTACTCGGACCCCATCTAGACCTGGTGATAGCTGGACAAGGGGACGCAGAAGCAACAGAGCGGGATGCGGTAAAGACGCGCGCCTTTGTCCAGCGTGTTCTTCGCGTTTCCTTGTCCTGTGTATTTTTCCGCAGCGCCCGTGGCTGCGCCCTCACCCTGGCCCGGCTGCTGCCACGGTCACCGCTTCCATGGCTGGCCGCCCCAGCCCGCTCGACACGGAAGTCTTCCACGTCTGAGTGCTCCTTCTCCCCCCGTCCTCTGCGCGGCCGCCCTAGTCCTTTTCCCTCGCTTGCATGCCAGCCAAGTAGCCATTCGGTTGCCCCGAATTGCCACGCGCTGGGGCGGACCGCCTCTGCCTCGCCGCCGATGGAACAAGTTGTTCCGCATTCCCTGGTCCAGGTTTCTCTGTGTGTTTGCCGCAGCCGCATAGCCAGTTGCATGCGGCGGGGTCTCCACGGGGGGCGGGAGCGGAGGGGAAGCGGTAGGAGCAGGAGCAGCGGGCAGAGCAGCCATGTAGAATGAGTCAGCGGGCCCCGCCCATTCCCGCCCAGCGCTTCCAGAAGGACCGTCAGCGGTACAGTGGAGGCCAATGCCATCAAACACCCTGCTTGCCTCCCGGGTTTCTTGGGTTTCTTGCTGTGGAAGGCGTGATGTTTCCGCACCGGAAATCGATGGACCTCCTGGGGTCTCAGGGTTGGGCTTCCTGTGGAAGGTTTCTTGCGTATTTGCCTCCACTGCATCACTAGAGCCAACTGTGGCCCATCTTGACGTTGGGACTGGTGCGCGTTCCCCAGCAGGGGTAGTAGCAGGTATAATGGGTTTAGAGAAGGGGGCCCTATCAAGGCTACAGAGTAGCGGTCAAGCTGGCCAGCTCGAGTCAGTCAGTGAGCCCCGTTTATTCCCAGCCTCGCCCCATGCACATGAAAAAGAATATCCTCACAGCCAGACTGCAGAATTTGCGGCGGTTCCCGACCAGCGAATGGAAAGCGTTCGCGCGCGTGCATACCAGCGTTTGACCATTCACCACTGGGACAAATTCGCCGCGCGCAAGCGGAATCGCAAACTCGAGAATAATCTGGGCCTTGCAGCGAAAGCAGCACTCCGCTCGCTCGCGCGCGACCCTGCTTCTGCCGACTTTACGAGAGAACAGCATGCGCCGCATCCAATCGGGACCGTAGCTTTCAGTGAGCATCGGGGCTCCGCATTACTGCAGTACTTCGCACTGGGAGTTTGCATTAGATGAGCGCGTGTAAACCGTGCAATGGCAGGCGCGCGGTTTGGATCGGTTACCGCGTCGAATGGCACCGCTTTGTACGTAGGATTGATGTTGTGCCCAGAGAACATATGGCAACACATTAGAACATGCAAGGGCGGGATGCGACTGCGCCCCGCACCATATGATTATCATGGGATGGTGATTTCCAACATCTCGGTGGAGGTTAAGAGGAGGCAGATAATGCTACATACTCGTACAGGATGAGGGCTGGAGTCTATGGTTATCATCCTCGTACTCGCCCTCCTTTTTCTCATGATCCTCTTCCACCTCCTCCTCCTCCTGCTCCCCCCTTTTGCTCGTCCTCCTTTCCTTTCTTATCGTGGGTTGGACGGGAGCGTCCTCTTTGGCTGCGTGCAGTGGGTGCTGGCCAGCGCCTGACGGCAAGAGGTACCATGTAAGGTGTGAGCGTTTCCCATGTGCCATGGCTCATGGAACCTGCCTTTCGCTCCAACGTCCCATCGGAGCCCGTCGGAGCTAGGGGTCTTTTTTGGGCCCTCGGGCCAAGGCTTACAAATCATTGTGTCAGCACGCTGGCCAATGGGATGGGGAAACATATGCCGCGCCCCATGCGTGCATCCCGATTCTGAGTTGACCGAGGAGGTTCGATGTGCAGGCGACGTTCCGTTGGGAAGGCCTGATCTCGTCAGGGGCATGCGAGCGCCGCCGAGAAGGCCGGCTCAAAGTTTGGCTTGAATTTCTGTAGCCTCCTGGCTCTTTTGAGATCAGGCTTGGGTGGCCTTCGGAGATCAAGGTCGGGTGGCTCCCGTGTGGAACTCGGCATCGTTTTTCGCATTTGTGCGTTAGGAGTTTTGTGTTGTGGCGCACGGTTGCGGGCCCTGCCAGAGCCCCCCAATCCAAATTTTCTGTTCGAACGCCCGCAACGAAGGGTCGGGACTTTCGACAGTGACACGCCTACAGTAACGTTGGGTCCTCCGTATTCTGCTCCCCCCTCTACCCTCCTCCTCCTCCTCCTCCTCCTCCTCCTCCTCCTCCTCCTCCTCCTCCTCCTCCTCTCCCTCTTCCATACTTGCACCTTCGAAGCAACTCCTCCCCGTCGCACCCCGAGGCCAGTCGGAAGGGCGGGCCCGGCGCTTCACTTTGATCTTACACAACTATTTCGCAGATGGAGGGCGGGTTGTTTTGTAATGTAGCTCTCGCCTTTGCGCCGCGCGCACTCGTTTTAAGAATCTGCATGAGCTTCACGGATTGAGGGCGGGCCGTTTTCAAAAAATGGTTCTCGCCTTCGGCGCCGCGCACACTCGCTTACAAGCATTGCAAGAGCTTCGAGGACTGAGGGCGGGTGTTGTTCAGAAAGTGGTTCTCGCTTTAGCGCCGCGCACATTTGTTTAACAAATGCAACAAGCTGTGCTTCTCGCCTTAGCGCCGCGCACAATAGTCTCAAACATTTGCCACAGTTTCAACGGTCCCATGACGATTATACCAGAATTTGTTTGATTCGAGCGGTGCTGAAGTCCCAGGATGGCGGTCTGGCGCGATTCTGGATCGTCAAGACGCAGCAGACCGGTTGATTCGCGGCGTTGGATTCCCGATAATGTTTTTTTGACACGCTCCAGGATCTTCAAACGGTTGTCTCTCAACGGGGCACCTCCCTCAATGAAGAGGCCTATGAAGAGGGAGCTTGGAGGTAGGGTTTATTTCAGCATCGTTGATGGATCTTGGCTTTCTACTGGCACTTCCTCCGCCTCCTGCTCCTCCTCCTCCTCCACCTCCTCTCTCCTCCCTCCTCTGGCCTGCAAGCGATTTCGCGCCTTGCACCCCCAGGCACTTATCTCATCATGTGATCGTCTCGTGGACACCCAAGTTCCAAGTCCCAAGTTCCTCCCTCCTCCATCTGGTTCCTCCCTGCTCCTCCTCCTCCTCCTCCTCCTCTCTCCTCCTCGTCCTCCTCCTCCTCCTCCTCCTCCTCCTCTCTCCTCTCTCCTCTGGCCTGCAAGCGATTTCGCGCCTTGCACCCCCCAGCACTGATCCCATCATGTGATCGTCTCGCGGACACCCAAGTTCCAAGCTCCAAGTTCCTCCCTCCTCCATCCAGTTCCTCTCTCCTCCTCCTCCTCCTCCTCCTCCTCCTCCTCCTCCTTCTCCTCCTCCTCCTCCTCCTTCTCTCCCTCCCTCCTCTGGCCTGCAAGCGATTTCGCGCCTTGCACCCCTGGCACTGATCCATCATGTGATCGTCTCGTGGAGCTCCAAGTTCCTCCCTCCTCCATCTAGTTCCTCCTCCCTCCTCCTCCTCCTCCTCCTCCTCCTCCTCCTCCTCCTCCTCCTCCTCCTCCTCCTCCCCCTCGAATTCCTGACCAGTATCCCGAGCGTGCCGAGGGATGAGGTGCCGCTTCAGAAAAAGACGGAGCTGTTCTTGCGTGAGCTCTTCCCTCGTTCTGTGAAGCCCCTGCTGCTGAGCCGCCTGCACAAAAATGACCCCCATCTGCGCTATAGCGACCTGGATCTTGTTTTCTTGGCCTTCAGGAGGGCCGCCCCTCTCGTTCCTCCCTCGGTCCTCGCCTCGCTCCTGAAAGCTGTGTGTAATGCCTGGTGCACTTCTGGGCGTTTTCGGAATGCTACCCAGGACTGCCCGTTTTGCGGCCTGCGCGCCGCCGACACCCTCAAACACGTGCTTGAATGCCCGAGGCTCGACATCATTGGGATTTTCCTGCCAGAGCTCCCTTCTGCGTTCTGCTTAGCCCCTGGTGCCACCAGAATTCAGATTTATAGATTTTTTCCTCTCGACAACCGTGCTCTGTTGTCTATCCTGTTGTATATCGATGCCTGCTTTCATTGCTATCATACCTGTCGCCATCGTCCCGCGTCGCCCGTCGCGGTGGCAGGGGCCCGTTTTCAGCAGGTCTGCAGGCAGCAGGCAGACCTGTCCGCGCTGCTTGGCGCGGCCCCGCAGGCGCCCCCGCTCGCGGCTGCCCGCGAGGGGGGGTAGGGCTGGTGGCGGCGACGACGTCTTGCCCTCTTCTCGCGTCTTGTCCGCTTGCCCTCTTCTCGTCCCTCTCTTTTGGCCAGCGTACTCCTCCTCCTCCCCCCCCTCCTCCTCCTCCTCCTCCTCCTCCTCCTCCTCCTCCTCCTCCTCCTCCTCCTCCTCTCTCCTCCTCGTCCTCCTCCTCCTCCTCCTCCTCCTTCTCCTCCTCCTCCGCCTGGACCTCTCTGGCCGTGGGCTCGCGAGGCTGAATGTGTCGCAGCGCTTCCTGCAGACGCCAGAGGGCCGGCTGTACGCCGCGGCGAAGGAGCGCCGCCCCCACGCCCCGAGTCGAGCGAGGCACTGGCACTCTCAACCCGCCTTGCTCGGCAGCAGATCATGGGAGCCTCGTATACCCTCGCAATTCCGTCTTCAGCGTCGATTGGCGTCTGGAAGTCGATGAGGTAGCGCCGATTTCCCGTCGGCTTGCGTTTATTAGCGTCGATCTGGCGTCGATTCGCGTCGATTCGCGTCGATGAGCGTCGATTCGCAGAAGCCGACGAGATGGCTTGGGAGGCTTTCGTGACTTGCCACCAAGCTGGTCTCCAGGTCGCGAATAAGATCGCGCTTCGCGCGTCGCGGCCTCGGCCCGAGAGCTGCGAGTCTCCAAGGTGGCCGCCCGAGGGGGCGCGAAGAGGACGCGCCGCGCGTCGTGGGGCGCGAAGCGCGACATCAGGTGACCTGGGTAATTCGGCGGCCGCCACGCTCTGCTCGATCTCACGCTGTGGGGCAACTTCGCTGTGGTGATATGCAGCGTTCGAGGACGAGGGATCAAGAAGAGGAGCAGAAGGAGGAGGAGGAGGTGGAGGAGGAAAAGGAGAATGATGATGCTGATGCTGATGCTGATGCTGATGCTGATGCTGCTGATGATGATGCGATGATGATGATGATGATGCTGATGATGATGATGATAAGGCTGCTGCTGATGATGATAATGCTGATGATGGGGCTGATGATGATGATGCTGATGCTGATGCTGATGCTGCTGCTGCTGATGCTGTTGATGCTGATGCTGCTGATGATGATGATGATGTTGTTGATGATGAAGATGATTATGATGATGATGATGATGATGATGATGGTGATGATGATGATGATGATGATGATGACGATGATGATGATGATGATGATGATGATGATGATGATGATGATGATGATGATGATGATGATGATGATGATGATGATGATGATGATGATGATGATGATGATGATGATGATGATGATGATGATGATGATGATGAATGATGATGATGGTGATGATGATGCTGCTGCTGCGGCTGCTGCTGCTGCGGCTGCTGCTGCTGTGATGATGGATGATGGAGGAGGAGGAAGAGGAGGACGGGGGAGGGGGAGAGGAGGAGGAGGAGGAGGAGAGGAGGAGGAGGAGGAGGAGGAGGAGGAGAGGAGGAGCAGGGAAGGGGGAGAGAGAGAGAGGGGGAGGAAGAACGAGGAGGAGGATAATGAGGAGGAGGAGGAGGAGGAGGAGGAGGAGGAGGAGGAGGAGGAGGAGGAGGAGGAGGAGGAGGAGGAGGAGGAGGAGGAGGCAAGATACGGGACGCAGCCGGCTTGGGCGGGAGCTAGACACACATGTGGCCACACGTCGTCCTCCCAGCGGTCGGCCCCTCTGTGGTCAGGCGCGCCGGCGTCCGCACATGCATGCAGCGCGTGGCCACCAAAGGTTCCACATGCGAATCCAGCCCTGTGTGTGTGTGTGTGTGTGTGTGTGTGGGCTCCAGCTTCCTGGTAGTGCTCCGCGACGAGAGAGAGGGAGAGAAATAGAGAGAGCTGGGGGGACACAGTAACGAAGACAGCAGTCCAGCCGCGGCAGCGTGCGCTGGCGGATGTACACGCTCGTTGACGCTGCCGTGGTCTCTGCGACCGCCCTGGCCGCCCTGAGATCTCAAGCTGGCCGCAGCTGGCGAATGGACGCGTGAGGGAGAAGGCAGGCGGAGGAGGAAGGTGGAGGAGGAGGAGGAGGAAACCGGAGGAGGACCAGGTGGTCTTGGCACGACCCGGCATCTCCGGAGCCGCTGCCCCCTCCAGCCGCCGCGCCTGCAGCGAGAAGTTGCCCGGGGCCCGCTCTTCGGGAAGGCAGCCTCCAGGGCGCCTCGACGGTGGTTCTCCGGGGCCCGGCGACTCCGAGGAGGCAGGGTGAGCCTCACGGTGTATCTATCCGTTTTTGTACCAGACGTCCCGCGGTACGGTTTCCGAGGTGTGGGCTCTATTTGTGTACCAGGCGTCCCGAGGCATGGCCTCCCTCTGCGCGCCTGGTTGGGGGCACGGGCTCTCTAAGCGCGCTGCCAGAAGAGCACGCGTCTGTCGTCAAATAATGGTCGTCCGAGAGTTGCCCCCGCATTCTAGTGCAGAGCGCGGAGCAGAAGAAACATGCCTGCGGCCTTGAGGGGACACGATCAGGGTGGAGCCGTGGAGAATCCTGGGGGTCCTCGCTTCTCTTCGGAACGTGGCCGCGAACGCTCGCCAAGATCAATTCAACTCCCTGAATTATTGAGACCATGGCCTGTTGTGCTTTCGTTTGTCATAGAGTTCCCACGTGTCATGTCATGGTACGTATTTTCCAACAGAGATGTTGTAACGAGCAGGCTGGACTCAGAGATATTCATCATTGCACCGTAGAAAATCTGACTGCTTTTCCGTGATGAAATGTGTCATATGTGTGTTATTATCTCTACGCTCTTCCACCTGCTTTCTCTTAAATATTCTTTGCTCTCTAGCCCTCTCTCTCTTTCTACGTGGTACGCTCTCCCTCCATATGTGATCACTACCTTCCACCTTCTACCCTCCACCCTCTACTTTGTATCATATGCTCTCTCTCTCGTTCTCTTTGTGCTACCTGCCATGTCTGCACGCCCTACTTTGCGTAATCTCATTACCATGTCCGCTCTATACCCTCTCTGTTGTCTACTCCGTGAACTCAGGAACCCGTGCGCCAACCGAACTCGGCGACGCATTTTAGCAAGCATCCCATAGTTGCAGGAACCTTTTACACATAGTCTAGTGACCTGAAGACACGGAACCTTGTCGCCGACTGGCAATGCCCATTATTTCCGCCGAATCTTAAAAAACCTCCGCGGCACCCCTTCAGATCAAGCGTTGATTGAGGAGCATGTTGTCTCTGAGCGTCCCAGCTGCCCCTTGTTGCCTTCGATGCGGGAGTGCATTGTTCTATACACTTTTGGAATAATGCGACTGGTGCAGCAGCAAGTTCAGTGGCTTGCTGCGTCGGCGGCTTTTTCCTTCTTCGGAGCCCCCAGTAAGGCGTCGGGAAAGCGTTAGCGGGGTAAGGCAGAGGGAGCAATGATAATTCCATATGACAGCGGGGAGAAGAGAGTTATCTATACAAACGAGAAGAGAGAGAGATCTATACAAACAAACCACCAATCAATCAATCAAACAAACAAACTAACAAACAATCAAACAACAAAACAACATATGGCAGAGAGAGGGGGGAGTGGAGAAGGATAACGCTGTTGTCCTCATCCTACTCATCCGCCTCATGCCGTGAAATCACCATCCTGCGGCTTCCGACTCCCAGCCTTGCCACCGTTGCCTGTGCGTTCTTCGCTATGCGTTACCGTTCCACCTTTCAAGGTTGAGGTTGGTAGTTGCGCATCATCGCAACTGCGACAGGAAGCAACGCAGCCGTTCCGTTGACTGTCTATCACATGTCCTGCCATATCGATACCACCGGAGCAGAATTCCTGAAACATTATGCTGAGATTGACCGATCGGCTAGCGGCGACGCGTTCGGAATAATCAGTTCCACAGGTACATCAACTTCAGGGGACACGTCCCGTGAATGATGGCCGAGGTGGTGGCCAGTGTTTGGTGAAGATGAGCGCATCACCCATGGAAGTCAGGATTGATAGCTCGACCCAGCCAACATTCAAGGTGCGGCAATCATGCCGCATGAAATGCAAATGCACGTTGACCCAACTTATGCGGCAATGCAGTCTGCAGCGGCGTGGCGATCTACGAGGCTAGCTGGGGACATTATAAGCAGCGTGATTGAGTGGTAGGTGCTCCGTTGCCCCCCGTGCGCACGAATGATTTCCTGGAGGGCGATCATCGGAAAAGGTGACGCTTGCCCCCATCGTGAAGCGGGCGGGCTTCCCAAAGGGGCACGTGCAAGGGAATCGACCCCAGTAAGGAAGAACACCACGCGCCAAGGATATAACATTCCCACCTCGGACCTGATGGCTGCCAGGACAAGGAGCGCCCAAGTTCTTCGCCTGAAGGCACAGTGGAGAGACACACCTCCAAGACTGCCACAATACATTCGGCTTCAGCTGGCGCTGCGTATCCGAATTACTCAACACTGCGAGGCCACAAGTCATTACCCTCGGCAGGAAGAAACAAGCTGTCCAACTCACTGTCGAGCACCGTGGAAGTACTTAGGTATGCAGGGCCGCGCCCGAATCCACACCTGTCGCACCCGATCGCGGAATGGCTGTCCAGGGCATGTTGGCTTCTCTGGTGCATTCGCAGAAGTCGCTCTCGAGGGCGGGCAGCATAATAATATTCATGTAGCGACGGTGGCCTGAACGGCTGGTTTTACGAAGTGCCTACCTTACGCTACGGAGAAGCGTCTGATGTGCTCCAAGGCTGCAACGTAGTGTGACACCAGCTTTTTCGCTGGCTGACTTGCACTGTGCCAAGTGTTCTAGCCCGCTAGCCTAGTGGCTCGGCACATGCTGAATCAAGCTGCGAGGAGGGCGTATGCACAGATTCTGGGCTCAGGGTGAGCCTGGCCAGGATCGCCAGATCTAGGTCCCCCCTACGAGGCGCGAGGAGAATCCCGCTTTGCGCGTCGCGGCCTCGGTCGGAGAGCTGCCCTTCTCCAAGGTGGCCTCGCGAGGGCGCGAAGATAATCGCGCATCCCGGGGCGCTGGGCGGGGGCGGCGGGCGCCGAGGAGGACGCGGACGAGGGCAAGCGCGGGCCAGACGCGCAGCTGGCGGCGACGGGGGAGGGGGCGCGCGCGCGCGCGCGCTGGGCGCGGGGCAACCGGCGGCGGCGGGCGCAGCTGGGGCGCGCGGGGCCGACGGGGGGCAGGCGGCGGCGGCGGCGGCGGCGGCCGGAGGGGCTGCTGCTGCTGGGCCGGCCAGCGGGGCCAGCGCGGGCGGGCGCGCGCGGGCACGGAGCCCCGCGTGGTTCGCGGCCCTGCGAGCCGTCCACGGGCGGGGGCCGCCGAGGCCAGGGCCATGAGTGGCCGTGCTGGCCGGGCGAGCGGCGACGGGAGAAGAATGCAGAACGCATGCGGGGGGGGGGAAGGCGCCGGGCACCAAGCGCGAATTTAGGCGACCCAGCTGTGTGCATAGTTCCCGTTATCCTTTTTATGCTCATTTGCGCTCCACTTTTGCCCGCATCGCATTGTTCCCCGTGCAGGGCACCGCCTGCTCTGAGCACTGCCCAGCAATCGTCGCCCCCCTCTTGGCCAGTTACCCCCCTCTTCGTTCTCGGCCCCGACTTCCGCCTCGGCCTAGGCAGCGTCGTCGTCGTCGTCGTCGCAGTTATTATCTTCCACCTTCTCCGCCTGATTATCACCCCCCTCCCTGCCTCATCTTTCCTCCTCCTCATGCTCCTCCTTCTTCCCCCTCCTCCTCGCCTCCTCCCTCCCTCCTCCCCCTCCGGTATGCCTTGCAAGGACTGGATGGTTGACCCCAGGGCAGATCTCTTCTACAGCTCCCTGTCCGCACTCACATGCGCTCGCTCGGGAAACCCCTGGTGCAAGGTGGGGTGCCCTCCTCCCCTGCTACCCCTGGTGATCGCCAGGGAGGTGGGGGGGCCCCTCCTTCCACCGGAGCTGTTGTCCCCTGTGCGCGGATGTGGGAGCCGACTGAGGTCAGGCCGCGGCTGGTTCACCTCCCGGCTGCCCTCGGGGTGCTGTCCCTGCAGCCCTCAAAGAATGCCCACAGTGGCCACCAGCCAGCCTTCCTCATCTTTCCTCCTCCTCATGCTCCTCCTCCTTCCCCCTCCTCCTCGCCTCCTCCCTCCCTCCTCCCCCTCCCCCTCCTCCTCCCTCTCCTCCTCCTCCTCCTCCTCCTCCTCCTCCTCCTCCTCCTCCTCATGCTCCTCCTCCTCCTCCTCCTCCTCGTCGTCCTCCTCCTCCTCCTCCTCCTCCTCCCTCTGCTGCTCTCCGCCGGGCGGTGGTGGCAGGAGGGCGACGAGGAGGGCGTGGCGGCCGCGTGTGCCGAGGGCGCGAGGCTCGGGGGGGGGAGACGACTGCGGCACTGGGCGGCCCGCAACGGCTCTGCTCTTGGGGCCCGCCGTCGCCGTTTGCAGCGGCGGCGGCGGCGGCGGCGGCGGCGTCGTCGTCGTCGTCGTCGTCGTCGTCGTCGTCGTCGTCGTCGTCGTCGTCGTTGGGCCCGACGGCCCCTTCTGCCGCGCGCCGCGCGCTCCCCCGGGACATGGTCGGCACAGGAGGGCCGAGGACTGCGCGCTCGGCGCCGTCGTCCCCCTCGCCTCCAGATCCTGCGCTGGCTGCCACCTCGCGCTTGCTCCTGGTTGCTGCTGCTCCTCCTTGGCCCTCCATCCTTTTCCATGGGCTGTGACACTCATTAACCCAGTAGGGTCTTTGATAACCCCCTGGGCAATAATGGGCAAATGCTTATTTTCTCGCGGGCTTATTGAAGGATATGGAACCCAACAACAATTTGAAAATAACCATTCCGCCGCGGGCTTATTTTTTCCGTGGGCTCGGGGAGGAGGACTGTGTGATACTCTTCACAAAGAGCAAGTCGAGGACTTCAAACATGGTAGCGAATCTGCAACCCACGGCACGGCGAGCGAGAGCATGGATGAGGAATGAACGAGAATCGTCATCGTCGTCTCCCGTCGTCGTCGTCGTCGTCGTCGTCGTCCTCGTCGTCGAGGAGGGAGGGGAAGAAGGAGGGAGGGGAAGGAGGAGGAGGAGGAGGGACGAGTTTCTATTCCCCGCCGAGAGCTTAGGGGGGGAGGCATTATTAAAGACCCTTCGCGGTTAGTTGCGCACCCCCCCTGCTGTTGAGGCCGTGCACCTTGCTTTCGAAGAGAGCCGAACCGAATTGTCCTTTCCAGCCCTGGCCAGCTTCCCTGCAGCGTTTCCGGCCTGGGCGGCCTCGTCCCAACTGCTCCGGGCTCCGGGGGACGGGGGAAGGCAGAGGCCACGGCGGCATCGGGCTGCCCACGGCCTGATCCGGCCCGACACGGTCCCGATGCTTGGACTCCGGTTTCGATCCGGTCCGATCTGGCACGACCTGTGCCTCCCAGATGGGGTCAGAGCAGATGAGGGTCGGAGGATCGCGCCGCATCGCCAATGCATCGTCGATGCGGCTCGGTGCGAAGCTCGATTTTCTCCAGGCCGATGGCACCGATCCCATCCGGGAGGCCTTGGCGGGAGCCGCTTCCCCCTCTGGACTGCAGGGGCCGTGGCCCGATCCCCGATCCCAAACGATCGACCGAGGCCGATTCAGGCGGGCGCCCGTTATGCAGAGCCGTGCCCGCCCCCATCGGGACAGGGTAAATCGGCTGTCCCAGCGCGCCGTCTAGGCGGGAATCGGCTGATTGCAGGGCTGTTCGCGGTCCGATCCGATTCAATCCGATCCTCGAGCTTCGATGCCGATCTCGATGCCGCTCCCGGCACGAGCCGGTGACCCCTCTTGCCTCAGCACGGGCCGGGCCCGACCCCCAATTCCAAACGCGCCGATCCCGAGCCGATACCGCGCCGAGTCAGGTGCGGTCGGATCTGTTTGCGATCAGATGTCGCGATCCGATCTACAGTGGAGACCCATGCTAAGAAACACCCTGCTTGCTTTTAGGGTGCCCTCGGTGTCTTGGGGTTCGATGGTTTTGCGACGGGCAGGCGTGACGTTCCCACACCAAACATCCATGGACGTCCTGGGGTCTCAGGGTTGGGTTTTTGGTGGAAGGTTTCTTGTGGGCGGGCCCCTGCTGTAGCTCAGTCTTGTCGTGGGGCCCGCACTGCCGTTTCGCAGTCTCCACGCCCACTCCACCTCCGTGCGTTCGGGAGCCCTCCTGCCTCGTGCGGCCGTTCTGCAAACGGCCTGTTTGACGCTGCGCATACATGGATCTGAGATCGTTGCATTTTTCGTGAGGCGCAGAAAAGTAATCGCCGACTTAGGCGGCGAAGCAAACACATTAAGCAGGTGGCGGGCACTGCGGGCAAAGACGGGCAAAAGAAAGGCAGCAGAAAGAGGCCCAAAACGGCGCAGAGTAAGCGCCTGCAAACGGCCTCCTCCTCCTCCCCCTCCAAATGAGAGCGCTCTTTTTCGGCACGCCCTTGCGTGCGCGACCCCTCCCCCATTCCCCATTGGTTCGGCCAGACCACAGGGGCTGGTCCGTAAAGACCGTCTAGGCTGCATGCACAACGTCTCGTCACTTCCCTCCCGGCGTTCGCTCGCTTTGCCCCTGCTCCTTGGGTCTTCGGATTTCCTGAACACAATTGTGTCGGCGGCCGCTTTTGGCCCTTGGTCACGTCATGATTATGGTCAGCAGTCATTGTCGACCACATCCTTGCTTGAGGCGAGCTGTTGGCGGCGTCTTTGCGGTGGAAGCAAGCAGGACCCCTTATCCTTCACCCTTGCCTCGCCCATACGTCCGACGCCCCACTTTCCTCAATGCGGGTGGGGGTCCGGATTTTTCTTTCCATGGATTCCACGCCGTGGGCCGCCTTTTCTTTCTCATTGGTCCACGGGGCCGGAACGGCCCCCTGGATGCCCAAGCTCAAATCAGAAGAAGACCAAGGAAGTAACAACCGGCATTACGCCGCATCTAGAATCTTTGCGGACGACGCCATGTGTCTGCGCAGGCGTCTCTAGAAACTTGGCTATTCTTTGCAGCCGTAGCGCAGACACTGAAGCCGAAGCAGGCAACAAGCACGGCTGGAATGCGGGACACCAGCGACGCGAATCCCTGATGGAAGACTCTTCATGTATGTCTCAACGAATGTGTGGTTCCCGACCAGCCCGTCCAAACACACACTGATAGGATTTAGCCGACCAAGCGGCATGCACATCTGATTTCCCGTATCAAATCCCCAGGCGTGCCAATCGTGCGGGGGCCTTCCATCTTCGTTGCGATCCGATGTGTCTCCCAGAGCTTCTAGGAAGTTGGCCCAATGTCTATCCCCCTACAGACGCACGGGCCGTACGTGCAGGCTGGCCCAGGCTTCTTCGACAAGCATGTGCTCAATCATTCGAGAGATTGTCTTACAAACTTATGTCGTCCTCACCCCCGACTCGAGCGGAGCTCGAGGACGCGGATTGCGCGAAGTTGCGTGGGCGAATTCAGCATAGTTCGTTCTCTGAAGGCGGTGCCAGTCTGATCTAACACGGCTTCTATCGTGTGCGAGAGGCGTGTGGCACTGAGGACGTCTCCCTGAAATTGGCTTCCCCGCGCACCGACATCTCCTTGGGGCCTACGCTGGGCGGCCGGGCGGCACTCCGCCGGGCGGCTTGAAGGGGCAGACACTGGGGAGGTTCGCCGGGGCACTGTGCAGTGGGGGCCCAGGCCAAAGATACCCTGCTTGCCTCCAGGGTGCCCTGGGTTTCTTGGGTTTCGATGGTTTTGCTGTGGAAGGCGTGACGTTCCCACACAAAAGATCGATGGTCGTCCTGGGGTCTCAGGGTCGGGTTTCTTGTGGAAGGCTTCTCGTCGGCGGGCCCCTACTGCACAGCAGCCTCTTGCTCGACGACGATGGCAGCACAGGGGGGCAGGGCGAGCGTCCGTGGGTCGCGACACTGGGTTTGGCAGGTTTGGAAGCACTGGGAGTTGACACGTGAGCTCTGGGGACGAAGCCCGAGTCCATCTGGAGACGAGCGCCGATAGACAGAGGGTGCTCAATGTGTTCGAATGCTTCCCTTTAGCTATGCTCGCCTCTCGTTTCTCGTCTCTCGCCCTCGCCGTCTATCGAGTTGCATTCCGCGTGTAGTGCGCGGGGCGCGTACGTGGAGATGGGGGGAGGGGAACAGGAGTGCCTACGACATGTGTTTGTTCGACTCCCCGTCTGCAGTCCGATTCACAGGAGGCCACGCGGGGCGCCCTGGCCTCCGAATTTTCTTCTGGCACCAGGTTCTGGCTTGCCCCCGCCTTCCCAGGCCAATGGGATCTTCAAACATCTCGCTGTGTGCAGGTGGGAGGGAGGTCGCCCCAGCGGCAGCTCCGTCAGCGAGCTCGGCCAAGATGGGACAGCCCCGCCCTCGGCCCCAGTCCCTCTCGGCAGGCTCGACGTGCCCCATCCCGAGTTCGGCTCGCAGCCCCTGCTCATCGCCACCCTCAACGGCCACACCGAATGCGTGCACTATCTCCTGGAGGACTCGTCTCTAGGGGATGGTTCAGCTGGACCGGGGGAGCGATGCACCTCCCTCGCTGGCGGCTGAGGCCAAAGTAGCACCCTGGCCGGGTCGAGATGCAGCCAAGCTCGGTTGGCTCAGCCGCACTTTTTTTGTTGTTGCTGCTTGGCGCGCCCAGCCCGGATCGGTAGTGAGGCTCAGCGGGGGTGGGTGCAAGGGTTGGCCTGGGCAGAAGCAGCAGCGGGAGCTTCAGAGGCTGGGGGTTATCCATGACCATCGCCTGGGGGATCGATTTTCGGGGGGGCCTCGGCAGGCGGTGGATATGGATACATTCAGGCCCTGAGTGTGGCATGTGGCTCAAGAGACCTTATGTGGCTCCAGCGGTGGCTCAAGAGACCTTATGTTGCTCAGGCGGTGGCTCGAGTGACTTAAGACCACAGACCACAGACCCAGACGTTCACTGTTTGCTGCGCCTGGTCCAGCCCAGGCGTCAGCCTGCCTCCTGGTTCGCTCCAGGTGGGCAGAGTTTTGTTTTCTCAGTGCACTTGGTCCGCCCCAGGTTGCACTCTGCCTTCTGGTCCGCCCCAGGGGTGCCGCTTCTTCCGATGCCAGGAATGATGCTCGGCATGGACCAGCAAGACAGCTACGTGGGCGACGAAACCCAGAGGAAGCGCGGCGTCCTGACCCCGAGCTTCCCCATCGAGCAAGGCAATTTGACCAATTGGGACGACGCGGAGACGATGTGGCAGCATACGTGCAACAACGGGATCCGCGTGGCTCCGGGGGAGCACCCTCTGCTCCTCACGGAGGTGCCCCTGGACCCGACGGTGAATCGCGACCGCATGACGCAGATCATGTTTGAGACGCCGAACGTGCCGGCGAAGTACGTCGCGATCCAGGCAGTACTCTCGCTGTACGCTTCTGGCCGCACCACTGGGTTGGTCATAGATTTCGGGGATGGCGCGTCGCACACCCTGCCCATCTATGAAGACTACGCGCTGCCGCGTGCGATCCTGCGCCTGGATGTGGCGGAGCGGGACCCTACGGAGTACTTGGTGGAAATCCTCACCGAGCGTGGCTACTCCTTCACCACCACGGCTGCGCGAAAGACCGTGCGCGACGTCAAAGAAAAGCTCTGCGACGATCCGCTCGATCTCGACAACGAGAGGATGGCCGCAACGTTGAGCTCCGACAGCGAGAAGACGCACGAGATCCCCGACGGGAACAACGTGACCGTGGGCAGCCAGCGCTTCCGCTGCCCAAAGGTGCCCTTCCATCCTAGGTTCGGGGGCAAGGAAGCCAGCGGCATCCACGACACCACTTTCCAGTCGATCATAGAGTGCGATGTCGATCTCCGCAAGGCCCTGAACGCCAACGTGGTTTTGGTTGGTGGCACCACACTGTTCCCAGGCAACGGCGAGCGCATGACCAAGGAGCTGACGGCACTGCGTGGTTCCGCCCGATCGCAAGTATTCAGTGTGGATCGGTGGATCTATCCTTCCCTCGAAGAGAACCTTCCAGCACATGTGGATCCCCAAAGGGGGGTACGACGAGTCGGGCCCCACCATTGTGCACAGGAAGTGTTTCTGAGGGTCTGCTCTTGGCAAATTTTGGGAACCAGGCAAGATGGAATCGGCCGACGTGTTGGATGGAGATTGCGAGCTTGCCTCACGCCTGCGAGGTTGCCTCACGCCCCAAAGTTTACAGCTGGCGCTGGCAGTGATTATTCGTCAAGACAGCTGCTTATGTCTCTCGTGCGTATGTGACTGCTTTACTACGTGCGCATGCGCAGACCGTGGTTTTGGCTCGCCGGCCCTCGTTGTTACAGTCTGCCAGGGGGGGCCACCACCTGGACGGCTCCTGAGTGGCATGCCGCTGGCGGCTTCTGCAGTACTGCTTGCACACTTGTGGATCAGACTTCGCTTGTTTCGCCCCTGCCGCTTCCCCTGTTCCCTGTTCCCGCTTCCCCCCTCCCCTCCCTCTCTCCTCCCTCCCTCTCTGCCTGCTCGGCTGGCGTCCTCGGTGGGCTGCCGCCGTGCCTGCCCGCGCGGGTGTGAGAGTCTGCGCGGCCTGCCCCCCGCTGCCGCGCACCTGGCGGCGTCTCAGGGGGGACTCGTGTCTGCCTCCCCTCTACCCCCCCCATCCCTCCCTGCCCCCCTCCCTCCCCTCCCTCCTCTCCCCTCCCTCCCCTCCCTCCCCTCCCTCCCCCTCCCCTCCCTCCCCTCCCTCCCTCCTCCCCCCTCCCTCCCTGCCCCCCCTCCCCTCCCCTCCCTCCCCTCTTCCCCTCTCCTCCTCTTAAGATGCTCCAACCTACTTTAGCTTTGACCACCAGAAAGAGTTTCGAGCGCCGAGAAGATACCGAAACTGGCGGGTTTTCACGTGTCGGGCCCTGGGAGGCGGTACTTGTTCGACACCGTTTCGATACTTTTCGGGGAGCTCGAAATTGTTCCTGGGATGTGGTCATTAAGTACGATGGGAGCAACATCATCCTCCTCGTGGTTGTGGGGCGAGGCGTTCGGCCTCCAGGGGCGCCTACCGCGCCAGAGCTATGGCGCCGCCCCGTCTGCGCAGGTCGCCCGTTGAGGCCCGTGGGCCGCGCCAGCTTCGGGGCGGCCGGCCACGCTCTCCCACCTTCGATGCTCACTGGACTCGTTGGGCTTCATGCTTATTGTCTGCCTCGCCCTGTCACTCAGGGGTTCAGGCTTTAACGGCACACCGCCGCCCGGAACGCCAGACTTTGCCCTGCTGCCTTGCTTTCTTCCGCCCTCTCCTCTCCTTCGTTCTCCTTCGTTCTCTCCCTTCGCAAAACAGTTCACTGCGCCCCACCTTGTGGCTGAGGTGCGTGGCCGTGGCGAACTTCGGCTTCCGCCCGCCCTGCCCGTTCTGCCGGAGCGGCTTGTGGTTTTTGCGTGGTTTCCCTCTTCGTGCAGTTCCAGCTGTGCTTGTACAGCTTGTGTCTGGTCATTGCCGCCGCTCGGCCGCATTAGGCGTCTGGTTTCTTTCTCCCTCTGCTCTCTCCTTCTCCCTCCCTCCTTTCGTTTCGCATGCGGCACGCTCGCCCATCCTTGAGGCCACGGTTCAACGCGTGTGTTTGCCCATCGCAGGTCGGCCCGTGTGGTATTCCCGCTTTGCCTGGCGGTATTTTGACTCGCAGAACGGTCGAGGCCGAGTCGGGTGAAGTTTTATGGTCGCGTTTTCTCTTTCTAAAGCTGCACAAACCTATATTTGTATACGTACATAGTATATATATAAAGCAACAATACATATACACAACTTCTTCATTATTTATATGTATGTGTATGTGTATATATGTATGTGCATCTGTATATATATATATATATATATATTTCAGAGCGAGGGGGCCGAACGGTCATTCACTGTCCCTGAGTGCGTGGCTGAAGTGGGCTTCCGCGGTGCGGATTGTTGTTGTGGTTGTTGTTGTTGTTGTTGTTGTTGTTGTTGTTGTTGTTGTTGTTGTGGGTGTTGTTGGCTCTCGCTTTGGATTTCCTCATGAATTATTATGGGAATCGCGCTATCGCTCGATATTTTTTCGCGATTCATGCAGGACGCACGCTTCAGCAACCCGCCTGCCCCTTGTTCTTTCCTTCCGGGGCTTCCCGAAATACTTGTTGCAGGTAAGAGACTTATACCCCGAATGGGGGCTCGATCGAGAACGAAGAGGGCGGGTATCAAGGGTTCGGGGTATACGTGTTGAACGGCACGCGAGCAGATAAGAGCGAACGGCCTAGCACATACTATTATTGTTTGTGTTGTTGTTGTTGTTGCTGTTGTTGTTGTTGTTGGCTCATCGCTATTGAATAGTGATTATTGTTGATCCCCTCTGGTGACCATGGTGTGTTTTCATTTGAGGTGCCCTCCCCCAGGGCTCGCACCCTGTTTTTTTTGTGGGGAGGACTCTTAATAATCAGGGCAAGTCACTAGGGTCAAACTGCGTTGTTGGCCCCCGGGTTACAACAACAACGGCTCCCGCTTCATATTTCTTCACAATTTAGCCACGACCCCCGCTCCCGCCTGAGACTTCCTCCCTCGCATTTTACTAAGGAATCGCGCTCTCGCTTGGGACTTCCTCACACATTATTCAGGAATCGTTCTCTCGGCGCTCTGGAGTCGCGCTCTCGCTGGAGACTTGCTTGCAATTTACTCAAGAATCGCGCTCTTGCGTGGGAAAGCCATACCATGTACTCAAGCGCCGCGCTCCCGAAACTCATGCACCCATGACTCGCGCTCACGCTTTAGACTCCCTCACAGCTTATTGAGGAATATGGGATCTCGCTGCCCTTCGTGACCCTGTTGCAGCCCTTCGTGGCCCCCTCGCTGCCCTTCGCGGCCCCGTTGCAGCCCTTCGTGGCCCCCTCGCTGCCCTTCGTGGCCCCGTTGCAGCCCTTCGTGGCCCCCATCGCTGGCCTTCGTGGCCTCGTTGCAGCCTTTCGTGGCCCGCCCTTCGTGGCCCCGTTGCAGCCCTTCGTGGCCCCGCTGCAGCCCTTCGTGGCCCTGTCGCTGCCCTTCGTGGCCTCGTTGCAGCCCTTCGTGGCCCCCTCGCTGCCCTTCGCGGCCCCGCTGCAGCCCTTCGTGGCCCTCAGCGCTGTCCTTCGTGGCCCCGTGCAGCCCTTCGTGGCCCCCTCGCTGCCCTTTGTTGCCCCCTCGCTACCCTTCGTGGCCCCGTTGCAGCCCTACGTGGCCCCCTCGCTGCCCTTCGTGGCCCCGTTGCAGCCCTTCGTGGCCCCCCCTCGCTGCCCTTCGTGGCCCCATGTATGCATGCCCTTCGTGGCCCCCGCTCGTTCCCGCTTATCGTGGCCCCATATGCATGCGTTTCGTGGCCCCGCTGTCGCCCTTCGTGGCCTTCGTGGCCCCGTTGCTGCCCTCAGTGGCCCCGCCCTTGCCCTCTGCGGCCCAATATGTGTATGCCCTTCGTGGCCCTCTCTCGTTCGCGCCCGTCGTGGCCCCATACGTATGTCCTTCGTGGGCCCGCTGTCGCCCACTGTGGCACCTTCGCTGCCCTG